ACACACACACACACACACACACACACACACACACGTACAAACACTCACTTACACACACACACACACGCGCACACAGGCACACACACAAACACACACATTACATGATAAATATCTGTGTGTGTATCTTTGTGTGTACGTACGTGTTTTTAAAAATATATTTATACCAATTGACGTTCTATCTTCAGACGGGTTAAGCATCCTGATGGCTGTGGCAGGAGGCAGTATTGTCCAGCGGAACATCAGTGAAGACTCACACACCACGGTAGTCAACTTCTTCTCTGATGCTATGGGTGAGTGGCCTTCTGTTGACAATATTCTATTAAATATTTATTCTACTCAGGCGTATGCGTGAGTTCACCTAATCTATGTAACATCCACTGCCATTGTAAACGATCAAAACAAATTTCTCCCTGTGAGATAAATATAGAGTGTCATTGTCATTGTCATTTATAATAATATTATAGTTCTACGTCGGTTGTGACTGTTCGTCTGTTAGGTATCTTTTCCTGTATTTATATTTTTCTCCAAACTTTCTGCCACATTGTTTGTTTTTTTTTTTTTCATATTTAGCTAACGTTTGGTAATGTCTGTTCCTGAGTTCGTCTAGTTGTCTTCCTTGTTGTTGGTCTCTCTTCAAACATGGACCCAACGTGTATATCTGATGAAATGAAATCGTGAACAAAAGGCTTAAACGTTAGGTTCTTATTGACTTCAGCTAATCCAGGCAGCTTTCTTCCCCTGACTATTGTTAGAACAACGTATGTCAAATTACTAATACTTAGTTAACATTTGTCGCCTCGCTATTACACCTCAACAACAGACTACACCTCTGTAGTACTATAGCAACACACTTCATTTATCTCAGTGGTTCTAAAGCAACTACTTCATTATCTCAGTGGTACTAAAGCAACGTACTTCATTTATCTCAGTAGTACTTAATCAAGGTAGGCAACCTCCTCAATACTTTAGTGGCATAACTTCTCTCCTTTCTTTAGACCTGGCTTGGTATGAGGACCTGGTCATGTGGGTCACACAGGATGGAACCCTATCCCTTTACAATCGGACAAGCCATCTACGGAGACAGCTGGTGGCTGCAGAAGGGGCCTATTGCCTGGCCTATGATTGGTTGGGTCACAAAGTATACTGGTCGGAGCCAAGCCAAGGAGTGGTGAGTTGAAATCTTCCAAGATAATATTGCTAGGCCATACAGGGTAGATCAGACACCATAATATGTGAGGCAGCGTGGTTGAATCAGGCTCTCGTCAAAATAATCAAAGTGAAGAAACTTGCATTTTTCCGCAGGTTTTGGAATTTTTATCAATTTTTTGTTTTTTGGCTCGAAACCTTTCATGCCCATTAAAGAACTCATTTATGTGTGGATTTTTCTGAAAAACGTTGATTTAAGGAACAAGATATGTAGATTTTTAGTTACCACGGACTCTTAAGCTAAGGAAATAACTAATCTTTGGCGGCCATTTTCTCACTAATTTTACCTCTGAAAACAGGTGACCCCCACCTCCTTCATTCGCAAATATCCCGACTTGTATTCAAGATAAATGGATAATATTTTCATCTAAATAAAGACAAGGGAACAAGCTTCAAGATGATAACCCTACATGCCCCAAAATTGACGAGAGCCTGATTCCACCACGCTGCCTCACATATGTTTTTTTTGTGTGTGTGCAAGACCAATCAACGTGCATCATCTCATCAATTCTGAAATCCCTCTATTGCTGAGACGCTTCAACCCACGTTTGTACAGACAAGATGAAATTATGTCCATTCAAGAGAGGTATTAAAGAGCCGTAATATCCTCCCCCTTATTTAAGAATGAACAACAGCACATGTTGTTACTACTTCCAATCTTTCTGCCACAGAGAGTGAGAGAAAGAAAGAGAGAGAGAGAGAGAGAGAGAGAGAGAGAGAGAGAGAGAGAGAGAGAGAGAGAGAGAGAAAGAGACAGAGACAGAGACAGAGACAGACAGACAGACAGACAGACAGACAGACAGAAAGACACACAAACAGACAGACAGACAGACAGACAGACAGGAGAGAGGCGAGAGGGAGAGAGAAAGGAGGGAGAGTTGAAAGGGGGGGGGGGGGAATGGGTACATCGAAATGAAAGCAATATGAAAGGGGAAGTAATTCCTTTTGAAACAATGAATTGTGTCTTGTATTGCGCAGATCCGGCGCTCCGACGTGCAAGGGCTGGGCGTGGAGTACATCCGGCAGACCTCAGCTCGCGATATGGTCATCGACTCTGTGGCTGGCCGCCTGTACTGGGCCACGCAGCACTCTGTGGACACGTGCTGGCTCAACGGGGATGACCACAGGCAGCTGTTCTCTCTGCCTTACTTTAGTGGACGATTTGTCATCAGTTTGACTTTGGACCTGGACGCAGGGAAGGTCAGTGTTGGGAACGATTGAAGCAGCAGCAGCAGCAGCAATAGTAGTAGTAGTAGTAGTAGTAGCTGTGTTCGTAGTGGTAATCGGAGTCATCGTGGTTACGGTGATAGCAGCAGAAGCAGCAACAATAGCAGCAGTGTCCATTGGAATACAATGTATTCCCGAAAGCTTTAAGAGATCCTGTGTTCAAGTGTGTGTGCTGTGAAGTGTTTGAAGGTGGTGACGAAGCAGAGGGAGTAAACATTCCCTCTAAAAACAATTACTACTACTACTACTACTGCTATTGCTACTACTACTGCTACTACTACTGCTACTGCTACTGCTACTGCTACTGCTACTGCTACTGCTACTGCTACTACTACTACTACTATTACTACTACTACTACTACAACAACTACTACTACTACTACTACTACTACTACTACTACTACTACTACTACTACTACTGCCATTAACAATATCACTAACACAACCTTTACCCCACCACGTCTCGTACAACAACAACAACAACAACAACAACAACAATAACAGCGACAACAACAACAACAACAGCAAGAACAAAACCTACAACAACTACAGCAGAAAATTCGCCGACCTGTCATATTATATCTATTTTCTGTTTTCTAGGTTCTGTGGTACGTGAAGGGCTACGACACACAGAGTGTGTATGCCGCAGACCTGTCTCCACCTCGGCCCGGCCAGAGTCCTACATTTGAACACTTGGGAGACTTCAGCAGCATTTCCAGGTGGCTACTTCTACTTCACTTCTGTATTTTTTAATAGTGAAATATGTGTGTAAAAATGCTATAAAAGTGTTAAGAAATAAAACTATTTCCATATTGGGAATTTTATGAATTGTCTTTCCGTCGTTTTAGTCTACAGTAAGAAAGGCCCATGAATGGAAATCTGTTTGTGTCGGTTACATAACTAAAGTGCGTCAACTGTGCCGTGAACATGATATACTCTGACAAAACCAACAACGCATGTCCCTATTTGATCCTGTGATATTGTGTCTTTCTCCCTGATTGTTTTAACAGCTCAGGTCAGTCAGAGGATGGAATAATTAGTAAGCTTTTTACCTGCATCGGTTGCAGTGTGTAGGGTGTATAAATATATCATGCCTATTTGCTGTTAACAAATCCACATAAAATCCACTGTTGCATTGATCACACCCTACCCCCCCCGAACTTCCTTTCGTTCGAATGAGGTAAGAAAAAATCAAAATGGTGAAACTACTTCCACATTTAATCTGATATAATAAATGAATGATTCAAAAGAAATGAAAGGAACAGATCACACTTTAGTAACCAGTAACCAGTGTGTAAAAAATACATCTCAAGGTTTTGAAAGTTATAAAAGTGTTTCTTTAATGTCATGGTTCCAGTTCGAATTGAGACAAAGACTTGGTTAACACATGCTTTCAAACTTACTCTGACGCGTTCAAACTTCGACGAAAGACTCACATTGAGGAGTCCACGAACAAGGTCACAAAGTGGAAATTGCAAGGGTACTAGTTTTAGAAACGTGTAAACTCTTAGCCTCCTTTCTTTGTGTCTGTTGATTGATTGATTATTATTATTATTATTATTATTATTATTATTATTTTTAGCTGAATAGCAAATCAAACAAAAACAGTAGAACAGAAATAAAGTTATGAGTTTGCCAGCTCTTGAAATTGATATCCTCGCGATTTCCATTTCGTGAATCTGCCAATTTCCCCTGTGGACTTCTCATATTATGTTTTCACAATGCTCTGGTCCATATAGTCTCATATTCTGGTCAAAGAAAGGTTGGCGTATGAAGTGACAGCAATCTGATCTTTATAGGCCTAATAACACATTCCATTCCACAAAAGGTTCACACGTCGTGATATCATGATACTGTGATCAATATCGCTACATAATCCTTTTTTATAGAAGGCTACAGTGCGTTTTTAGTTATGTTGGTATCTTGTAGTATGGTTGGCCTGGTTCGAATCTACACTTTGGGTGTTCTTGAACATAGGGGAAGTCTCCACATCTCTCTATCCAGTGGACTGGTCCGATCAAAGACGGACGTTGCATTTGGAGGTCCTCATAAGCATGACATATTGAAGGGCCATTGTTTCCATGCAATTGCTAATGACCAGTTGCCAGTTATATACCAAGGCTTAAATTTGACATAAAAATGAAATGGTTTCTGCAGCCCAATTTCTCTTTCGACACTCCCACCTATGATTTCATGGTACAGTGGTTAGGCGTTTTTCTGCCGAATGCAGGCGACGTGAGTGTTCAATCCAGTGTGGAAAAATTTTATTGAGTAGCTTCGTCTCCTTGCTGAGATGTAGTATCCCTCTCTGCTCATGTTGGCCCTAGCAGTCAAGACAAAGCAGCCTACCTCCTTATGATATGAATTGTGTCGATAGGGCCTAAGGCATCTATAGTTACATGTCTGATCTTTGAACATACAATACATATCAACTTCTATGCTGGGTTGGGTTTTTTTTCTTTCGTTGTTTTAATAATTGTACCTACTTTATGTGCGTTTTTTCCCCAACAAATTGGAATTTGAATTTCAACAAAATATTTCTTGAACACATACAAACGATACCACAGATTAAGAAACTGCAATTTTAGATATATTATGTTCAAAATTTAAGGCTAAATACATTCGAACAGACTGCCAGCGATATAATATATATATTAGACTTTGCATTTCCCCCCTTGTACGTCTCCCCAGCACGTCCGGCCTGCAGTATTTCTCACAGCGCCTGTTCTGGCTGACCCAGCAGCGCAGTTTAGTGGTGGGAGACCTCAGCTGTAACTACACGTCCGCCGTCAGCTTCTACTCCAACGTCACCAGCTTCAGCGTGGTACACCCGGCCCTGCACAACTACCCAGGTGAGGGGCGAGGTGTAGCAGCTGCAGCAGCAGCAGCAGCAGCAGCAGCAGCAGCAGTAGTAGTAGTAGTAGTAGTAGTAGTAGTAGTAGTAGTAGTAGTAGTAGTAGTAGTAGTAGTAGTAGTAGTAGTAGTAGTAGTAGTAGTAGTAGTAGTAGTATAGCAGTAATAGTAGTATTAGTAGCAGCAGCAGCAGCAGCAGCAGCAGCAGCAGCAGCAGCAGCAGTAGTAGTAGTAGTAGTAGCAGCAGCAGCAGCAGCAGCAGCAGCAGCAGCAGCAGCAGCAGCAGCAGCAGCAGCAGTAGTAGTAGTAGTAGTAGTAGTAGTAATAGCAGCAGCAGGTGAGAATCGAACTCTTTTCTTTGGTTTGACACGTTAAAAGCGTTGCATTTTAGTTAACAGAAAAAGTAGTGAGTTTCGATGTGGTATGCTGGACTGGTGCTCCGCCGCCCCACGCTGAAGACGTGAGTTCGATTCCCATTTCGGAAGTTGTCATTGTGATCGAGTAGGCCTACATATGTACTAGATCTATGTCCGTCTTCTGGGATGTTGTTTCCTCTCAGCCTGGGTCACCCTGATAGGCACTAAAGCATCAAAAGTTGTTATTTTTTAAAAATACTTCACAACTTCCATAACGTTTGATCCACCCTCGTAGATATATTTGTTTCGCTCTTGTACATAGTATGTCTCTCTAATACTTTCGTCGTTTATATGCATATGTGTTCGTTCTTATGCATATGTTATGTACATGTACATGTATTTCTCTTTTACGCATGTATGTATTTCGCTCCTCAACAGCTGAGATGAACAAAGAAGACGTGCATGTCATTCCAAACCCAATCCGTTCCAAAGATATCCGCACGGAAGGAAACTTTTCAAACTTCAACCTGACCTGGCCCAGGTCCAGCGAAGTAACACACGGAACGGTTTTCTACAAAGTTTTCGTCGTGGTTGGGAGCAACAACAAACATTTTGTGAGTCCATTCTCTTTGTGGGCTCTGTGTTGTTTCATTTGTGACAAAGAAAGGATTTGGGTTATCAGAGAAGGGGTAGATAAATAACCAGGGGAACGGGTAACAGGGTAACAGTTACAGAGGGCCAGAGAGAGAGAGAGAGAGAGAGAGAGAGAGAGAGAGAGAGAGAGAGAGAGAGAGAGAGAGAGAGAGAGAGAGAGAGAGAGAGAGAGAGAGAGAGGGGGGGGGGGAGAAAGAGAGACAGAAATGTGATGCGTACGTGTGTAGCAATGTATTATTAGTACTAGAAGAGCACTGAGTGAGTACTACAATATCTTAGAGATTTGACTTTCTCTTCCCCGTTGTCTCCAGACCACAGCTAACCAGTGGAATGAGATCGATGGCCTGTCTCCATACACTCTTCTAGAAGTCTCCATACAGCCGTACACCTACTGGGGCTATGCCGAGCCCACGACAGTCTCAGTCAGGTCGCCAATGTCCAGTAAGTATTGACTGTGTTCATCAAAGCACTTTGCGAATTCTCTTTTCTTCTTCAAAACTTGTGCATTCTATTGTTTCCCATTATGGCGTCACGTTTTAATTAAGCGAGAGATTTTTTTTGTTTTTTTTTTTTTTTTTATTGTCCAGGTCTTCCTCCAGCAATAAGTAGTCAAAATTATTTCATTTAAAGATTTTGTTATGAGTTCAAAACTAACCCCCCCCCCCCCCAAAAAAAAAAAAGAAAAGAAAAACAACCTCTTATTGCCACCATAGAATACGACTTCCATTTTGAAAACTTTCTTTGCATCCATATCCGATTCTAATTTTCTTGAACACAACTCCCATCTTGCAAAGCTTCTCCTTTTACCTTCACTACCAACTTGAAGGATACGATACTCAGGTAGCAAATCCTCTTCCATTTCGCTTTTACATCTGTCTTTGGAAATCACATCCACATGGTAAAATTGTTATGTTTTCGTATTTTATATTTACCGCACACTTTCAGAAACAACACTCTTTCCCAAAACCAAGTGAGAATCTGTTTACTCATTGTTTCAACTTTAGCATTTCTTACTGCGCGCCATACCGGCGTCTGTGTTGTAGCGATTATGCACTTCACAGTCACACGCAGAAGACGTGAGTTCGATTCGCGTGTGGGGGAGGATTTTTTTTATCGAGTATCTCCACGTGTCTGCGAACATTATATCCCTCTCAGCCTGTGATGTCCCAGACAGGCAGGGTTGAAGCAGTCTGCTTCCTAAATGGTTTTAAACTGTGTCAATTTAGAGGAGGGGGGGGGGGGCAGTAAAACTCCTAAAATTACAAGTCTGATTATACTATTTTTTCTGCGTGCCCCCCCCCCCTCCCTCAGTCCCCACAGCACCGTTGTCGCCGGAGGTGTACGTGAACCACCACAAGAACGCCTCCACCTCACAGCAGTCTCTGGCCGCCGACTTCCACTGGATGAGTCCACAGCACACCAACGGCATCATCAGCTACCACCTGGTCACCTACTGGATGGGCGACGGGCCTGCTGGGGAGAGGACCACCGTCAGGGTCAAGGGCACCGGCCAGCACTACATCCTGTCCCCTCTAGTCAAGTCCCAGACTTATCATTTCAAGGTAACGTTAAACGCTACGTGCCAGTGGTTGGCGGGTGATCTGATGAGGTTGGGTTTTTTTCCTCAGTTAACTCTTTTAGTGCGTGGTTGGTGTGTTCCCTGGTGAAATTGTCTCTCTAGCTGTCTGTTTGTCATGATGGCTATTGTCATAATGTGCTTCTGGACAAAATATGTCTGTTATCGTACTAACTTAATGTGATCTGCCATTCAGTAGTATACTTTCTTTACTTTTTACTATTTCCTGTGACCTTTAGGTGTCGAGGGGAGAAGCAAACATGGTTTTATTATTTGTTGTATCGCCTGTTGCATGTTAATACTGGGTTTTTAAAAAATCTAAATGTGCTCTGACGCCTTCTATCCATCTTTTCTTGGGCCTGTCTCTTCCTCTGTATCCATCTGATCCCTGGTTTTATACCATTTTCTGGCTGTAATACTGACTGATGGTAGTCTTGAGAGATGCCCAAACCTTTTGATACCACATATACTCACATTAAGTAAACGCCCTACCAAGTAGCATCACTTAACCTACAACTTGCTTACGATTAGATGTTGTAGTATGCTGATGAAGCTAGCTCGGACTACTTGTATTGACTTTTGTTCTTTTTGTGATTGCGCCGCAGGTGGTGGCCTGTACCATGGCTGGATGTGGACCAGAATCCGTCACTAAGACCATTGTAACAGATGGTGAGTGAACAATATCATCCATAATAGTGAAGCTGATCATCTTCCAGTACTCAAGGATAGTCACATCTGAATAGATCAGCTTTCAGCTTTGTCCATTGTATTTAACAAGAGTGATGATAAAAAGACCATACATTCAAAGAGGGATAAGATTTCTGACCTAAATACCAAAGGTTCTGTTCTTACCTATGACAGTACACTGTGCGTCTACATGGAGGGCAAATATTGAACACTCATCCAGAATATTAAGATCTCCATCCCCTATAATTAATCAGGGCTTAGGCCTACATGTAAATAACATGTAATATAGAAATAATTATATCAGAATTATATCTATGTCTATGATATATATATATATATACA